CTAAAATGAAACTTCTGTCCATGTTGATGACAGACATCATGACTCTTTCTCTTCTCTTCTTACTCAATGATATATATTAACATATGTAAAGCGAATTGCCCAAGAAAACGCCAAAAGTTACTTCCACTTCGAAAGTAACTAATTAGTGATGACTAAGTATGTCCGTTTGTATACATCCCAATCATTTCACTTCGTATCATTCCAAGAAAAAATTATCTTTAATTTCAGGGTAAAATAATAGAATCATTTTGACTTATTTTAAACTAAACTGGGAAAACTAACAGCTGAGAAAGACTTTTATTATATAACATTTTTCCAATCAAATTATCTTGAAATTACTGAGTACTGAGTCTCCTGATGTTAGACTTCTGAATGCAAACCTTAAAGTAGTCGCTTCTGAGTTTAGCTTATGATTTAGATTATTACTGCAAATAAAGTGCTATTAAACTATCCACCAAAGAAATCGCTATAATTCCCTCCAAGGCCTAAACTGAACAAGTTGTTTTCATCGCATAAATATAGATTTTCATATGGACAAGATAGGTAAACAGATTTTGAATGTGAGGCCTTATTATGGTAAGTGAATAACACGGAAGTCTTTGAAAACAGGACACACATTTTAAATCAAAAATATAAGCTAACAATCTCTCATTTTATACATGCTGTTGAAAAGATTCTTTTGTGCTCATGTCTTGTTGCCTTTTCTTACTCTACAAATTGTAGTTACGTATTGGTGGCTCAAAGAAATTCGCTGATGATGCTGGAGTAATTAAACGCTTAGAATTTCCAGCTCGCAGTGTCAGTGTGACCTATGCATCGCTACACTCTGGATATACATATACAGTCAGTGATCTAGAGCCTAACAGTGTCTATGATGTTCAGCTGAGTGCTTACTATGATTTAACTTTGAATATGCAGAGTAACTGGGAAACTACAAGCTGTTTCACTCAAATGCAAAGTGAGTTTATTTTTCAATACCAACTTTGAAAATTATTATACTTTTAAATTCATCAGTATGTAACACTAGTTGTCAGCCTTTGAGTGATTGAAAGTTCAATCTTTTCCTAAAATAACTATTATTAATATGTCAAAGTGAGTTTATCCATGTTGAAAGTGTCTAACAGCACATTATATATAGATTTGCTTGTTACCAGTATTATTAGTATCCCGTAGCAAAATCTACTACAGCCTAGTAACTTTATAAAACCATTTTATTTACCTCCCTAACAACTTTCATTTTAGTATATTCACCGTGAATGTTATGTTCTTAATAAATATGCAGAACAGTTAAAGCAACTTTGGTTGTATAGTGTTCTGTGAACTGAAGTTAGTGCTCTCTTGATGTTGTCTAGAAAACACTGAAAATGTCACAATTAAATCACCCAGGTTAGAGAACGCAATACAACGAATATCATCCACTTAAGGTTCAAATATTTCCCACCATTTTAGTTAAAGCAATCTCAAAACTTGTAATATTATTATGGCTGTTACTTAGCTCGTGATGATTCAGCTCGAAAACTGCTATGATGCTGTAAGAATTGCTGTGGATCAATCAGTCTCATAAAACTTTAGGAAAGTACTCAGGGATTAAAATGTATCAGAGATCAGTGTTGCACCCTATCTTCTCAGATAATTGACACAGCAATCCTTAGCTCACTGCTGTCAATCTTTACTAGATTCAGGTTTACTTTTTAATTTTGGCCAGTATCTTTGTTTATAAGATACACGTATATAAATACTCTAGTGTTCTCAAAACAGCTATAGACAGTAAAAGCGAGAACGTAGGTAAGCATAGGCCATTAATATAGACTAACGTTTGAAGGAAAGGAATATAAAAGAAAATTATCGTGGCTAGGACTCCAATGTACACAACTCATGAGGTTACTGAATGCTGAATCCTAGTAAGTAAACGAGAGCTAAATACCCTCATAAAATAGGTTTTATACCGTTGACTTCTCATTTCCAATGTTATATAAGTTTGTTAGACACCTTTGGTAAATTTTTCGATTACATATTGCAAATCCTTTTTTAATTTGATACAAAAACAGTTGATTTCCTTGTAGGTAAAATAAAAGATGAATTTCTTAAGAAGGTAAACGATGATACCTATCCTACCCATATCACTTTTATCACATACAGGTCAAGATAGACTCAAACTTAACTATGTCATGGAAAGTATTACTCACACATTTTTTGCAAATGTAAAAGCGCAGTTCACGAACATGCTGTCCCAACTCTTCACAGGTGTAGATCACGTAGTTCTATCCTGTTGTCAAGGAGCTTGAAAGGTTAGATCTACAGTTAAGTACCACTTGCTGTGTGACGATAGCATGCGTGACTTCACCGCAACAAAATAACAACTCGAAAAGAAATCTAATATTCACTTGGCAACCAAGTACACTTCAATGCAGTAATTAACGCACCACAGTATGTGAGGGCTGGTAATACCACTTGGCTGTCCGAACCTCTGTAGGTGGAGCGAAGTTCGAACGCGTTTGGAAATAGCAATTAGTTGGAATTAAATCCCGATTTATCTGCTATAAAGGTTACGTGTACTTTACCTAAGATATAGACTCATGAAATGGCAGCGATTCGATTTCAGAACTCGTCCAGGGTTTTTTTCTAGTGAAATAGGTCCCTTAGTCAATGTTACATTCAGCTTACAACTCAGGGTAGACAATCCGTAACTGTCATTCGTAGCATTTATTAGAATAAGAATGTTGATTTGTTACATTTTACGTGGAAATCAGTGATGTTATTTGTATATCACCGCTAAATATTGACTGCGCAGCCAATATTACCAACAAAAGTCAGTTTGATGTGTTGTATACTCCGAATAAGCGAATAAACCCACTCAACATCCTGTGAGTTGTATGTCTGTTTATACACAATTAACAACCTTAAAGCATCCCCTCTTCCTCTTGACGATAACAGCATCTGATATACAGTCTACAGCTGTTAATTTCAACTGATAACTGAATCCACACAGGGATTATATTGCATGCCTTTTCAGACATCTTTAAGGTATTGGTTTACAGCTGTGATTAGAGGCCTCTATTTATCAGTAAGCAATTGTTTTCTTGAAACAAGCCACACTTATAGCAATTTGTACTTCATTAAACTGCACACACCCTTCTTCTTTTAAAGGACCACCATTTGTACCAACTCCAATACCTGTTGCTGTTTCACCGAGTCGATTACAAGTTATGTTGCAGCTGAGTCGCGTAAGCGAACAATATGGCAAAATACGTCAATACTTTCTTGTGGTAGCACCTGTTCACCTAGCCGATAGTTTAACTGAACAAATCAGCATTGATACAGTAAGTGACTAATATAAGAATAAGTTAACTATTAAAAAATGCCTAATTATATTGTATTACCATGTCCCGAAAAAGTCCGATATTGTAGGCCTTATACATATTGCGTGCATAGTGAACTTTAGTACTGTTTGCCCTGAAATTTATTTTATTTACGGTTATTCACATATTTCATCATATATTTTGTCATTATTGGTGTAGAGTACATCACCAGTTGAATACTTTAGTGCATTTAATAGGTAGTCTAAATTATTCTTTTTAAATAGGTACATAAGATACTGTAAACTTGGAATGAGCTAAGATACGAGGGATATTTACCATAATTTTGATCCATAAAGTGAGTTCAACATGTAAAACTTGACATTTTCTCGAGTCATGCGATTGTTTTTATACTGTATATCTGAATTAAAGCCATCAAACAGGATGAATTTTAAATCTTTTTAACGTAGAATCATTGTCAGCGAAATATAAGGAAACAATGAAATTCTCATGGAAATGCTCTTCATATGTCCATTGTATGAGAAACCTTCAATCATCACTCTGTATCAATAACACCAAGTTGATCAAACCGCGGCTATCTCAGACAGTAGTTTCACTAGTCATCCATACAATGTGGCTGAAAATAGATGTCTAGCCAATAACCAAGTTGAGAAAATTGTTATGTATATATGCGAACGAAGCACCTGGTCTTTATTTGTAATATGTCTGTTATTTTTCTTTGGAAAACCAAAATTAGGCAGAAGGATTAAATCAAAACAGTCACAGAGTCTGAGACAATGGTGTATCCTCCTGTTATACTCTTATAGAAAACCTTTAGGAACAATGTAAGGCTAACTAGTTTGGCAATTTTTCATACAAAAATCCAACATGAATCAAGTCTTCGGCTTATAAATCCTTTCTATATTTACATGGGTGTTTCTTCGCTGGGGAATAATTATTCACAGTTGTAGTCTAGTATTCAAAAACTTTGTTCAATGTTTTAAAAGTATATCGGGCTAGTCAACTTCACTTCCAACCCAGTTTTACTCACTGACGGTTACTCTAATAGTTTTTACTACTGAAAGCATAAAAACAGTTAGAATAATAGGGAAGATTTGTAGCCCAAGATAAGAATGATTTGGTATCCTCTGAGCTGTGATATCCTGCTGTATATGTTTCATTTTTCATGTCAGCAAGGCCAGTGATGGAACGTCTACAATAGAACATAAAAGCTTATCAATAAACAACAACAAAACCTCCAAAGATTATTTCAATTTTTCCCACAGAATATCCAAGTTATTTGTCATTGTCTGATGTACGATGTAATCAGTAAATTTAGGATATTTGAGTGCAGACAGAAGAACACGTTTTCATGTATCTCAGGCATTTGTCAACTCAAACATCAAAGAAACTGATATTCAATCCTTAATTAAAGAGCGTTTTAGTTATCACCTTCAACATACGGTATACAATCATTTCCATTTAGCGAAGCACCCACATATTCTTAAATTCCTTAACACTATAAACCTACTAGAGATTATGGGTGGTTCTCAAGTTGTGCATTATAAATCCCAACAATGAGTCCTAATCAGTAAGAAACCAAAGTGAAAGGTTTTTTTCTGGATCGCATCCGATCACAGTACAAAATAAACTGTAGCACAATGTCAAAATAGTTTCGTTCATCGAATCTTTCATTTTAAGCAATGAGTTGTCTGTACGCTCCATTTAAATACAAATGTATTATTTGTATGCTTTCATTAATAACTTTAGGCTAGTAGCTTTAACAGATCATGTCACTGAAATGGAACACTTTACGCTACTTCATACACAGCAAGCAATGTACGAACACCTTCAGATTATCTTCCTCGAAACAGTTTTTGAGTTCATCTCAAACACAGTATGCTGTTAGCATCGGGCTGGATATCTTACGACATTTTTAATTTGCAGTAGCTGTTTACCACAGCATTAGCTTTATATGAACTTCAAAAACGTCTAGTTTCCATAATGAAGAAACAATCTAGGATAATAGGATATTCATTTCCCTTACTGGGTGAAATTGACTTCCGCTAATCTTTTGGTACATAGTATTACTCTTTCTGAACAATAAATTCTAGTAGTGGATTCTTTCCAAATACAAGTTCTTCAACTCACTTTATATGATTCTAGGCAATTATTTTGTTTTGAGGGAGTTGTGGAGATTTGGAAATATTTCAAGTTGTTATTCATCGTAGACTGATATCAGTTGGAGGAACAAAGGAAACCTGGGAGCACTGAACAGCTGTTTCGTCCTAGTTTGGGACTCCTCAGCAGTACGCACCCACGACCAGACACCAGCAGGGATCGAACCGCGACCTTCAGGTTCCGCGGCCAGCACGTTATCATTGAGCCACTGGGTCAGAATCCAATGGTCCATATTTCCAACTTCTGTTAGCTCTGATGTCAGTCTACGATGAATAACAACTTGAAATATTTCCAAATACCCACAACTCCATCAAAATTCAATTGAACTGGTGCTCATTGGTGACTAGCTTCGAGAAGTATTCCCAAAGTTCCAATGAGAAGTCGTGACCGGTGGAGTCAAAGCCTGATGGCCGTGAGGACAGATACTCAACAGTGACATTGGGTGGCGGTTGTGCTATATCGCGAGCTAACAGAATTTGGAAATATGGAGCATTGGATTCTGACCTAGCGGCTCAATGGTAAGGCGCTGGCCGCGGAACCTGAAGGTCGCGGGTTCGTGGGTGCACACTGTTGAGGAGTCCCATACTAGGACGAAACAGCTGTCCAGTGCTCCCAGGTTCCCTTTGTTCCTCCAACTGATGTCAGTCTACGATGGATAATAACTTGCAATTATTTTGTATCAAAATAATTGGTTGAATTCTGAAGGTTCGCTTTAATCTGGAGAACTTCCTATGTTTACAATCCAAGCCTTAAGAAACAACTGTTAGTTTCGTAACCACTTGGTTCTTATCAATTTGAGCTGTTTATTGATGAAATCTGTCTGTGGTTGCCTACTTTGATCACTTGTATTACATAATCAAGAAATACAGTCACTGAATACGACTTTCCTATGATAGTCGTCAGCAGAAAAGTATTGGAAGTTGTTTGATAAATTCATATTTATTTACTTGTACAAGTTTTCTAATCTTCAACTATGCATTATTATAGCGATTTAGAAATGAAAGGCTTTGTTTCAATACTAATGTTATTTCTGTGTACTGGAGTACAAGTGATTTTTCTATGTGCTGAATACACTAGTGAAGTAGAAAAGTTTTGTTAAAATGTAATTTCAACTGTCATGAAATTGTTTGTTTTTTCTAAATATATTTGGCTATTATCGTTTTTAATCATTAAATTTATAGATACAACTGTAGTTTGTCGCATAACCAAGAATTAAATTGAATTTATAAAGACCAATAGAGAAGAGGAGGAAGAAAGAGAAATCATATGAATCGTCATCGTTGGAACCAGTGATCAGAAATAATTTTTGTCCATAAAAAATTGTGTTTCCATGACTCATCAATTTTAGAATACATTCGACTTAACTTTTGCACCATAAACTTAAATAATATGAGTCAGACTAGTTTTCAAGTGAAGTATAACTTTGAAAGGCAATCAAATAAAAATGAAATGCTCGAAAGAAATTAATTAATTAACTAAACCAACTGTTTGATTCGTTAACTAGATGAAAGCTTCATTCTTGTTTTGACTGTTTTAAAAACAAAAAAACTTACATTGATTAGGTGACTCCTGAAACATTTGAAAGGGACGAAGAGCCAACTCTGAGTTAAGGTTTATGGTACACGTTTTACAGATTATCTGTACAGAAAAGTGTATCTTAAATTCCTCATAATCTCTCGGCTAATGGTTAATTACTCAAGAGGTTTCTAACCGTTATTATGATTATCCTTTATAGTTGGTTTTGTGACTGAAAGTAAGTCAATGAATTAGGATAGTGGATTTGTTAACTGAAAATTCTATCTGCAATTACAACCAACACCTATCTATTTGATAATAGCAGTGAGTCGTGAAAAACGTTCACATCACCATTTTGTTGTAAAATTGTCTCCTGGATAGTACTTTTCACGCTTACTGTGAACAGTCTGTGTGTTTTACACTTCTGGAATACATCACTTCGACATGGCGTATTCTGTTTCATATGAAGACCAATTCATGACGAATATGAAAGTGGACAGCTCCAGTTATGTTTTTACTTCGACTGCTTAGTTTTTACTGAGGAGGAAAAACACTTAACTTTATTCATAAGAGTGAAAATTGACTGAATGCTTTAAGGTTTCCAAAAGTGTCCATTAACTGTTCATTCAGTTATCATTCACATTGAAAACTATTTTCAAAAATTTACAAATGTGACATAATATTTTTTTTAATTTCTCTATTTCTATTCTAAATAATTTTGCCTTAGCAAGGTAAACTTCATAGCCAGTAGTATGGCTTGTTCCCTTCACAAGCAAAGGCTTCAAACAGTCTTTAAATGACGTCAATTTTGTCTTTATTAAAAGCCTAACTTGAAGTCTATAACCCAGTGTCTTTAAGGACTGGTAAGGTAACCAGTATTGATACATTAATCAATTCCACTGTGTATAAACGTTCTACTCATATATTTAACCAAATACTTTATTTTGTGCAAAATTACCTTCTAAGCCGAAAGACAGTAGTCTGATTGGTTATTTCAGCATTTGCTAGGATAAACTTTGGAGTCTCTCTTCATCTGGCCAGTTCATCAGGAGAAACCTACCTTTCGCTCTGACTAATCTCTTTTTAATATTTCTAAACTTGGAGGTTTATTCGTTAATAAAAGCTTTTTAAATACGTAACTTCTATCCGCTAGCCGTGAAACAGTAATTACTTTGACTGTATAATTTGAGATGAAAAAAATCAGAAAGTACTAGACACCTTTTTTCACCCAGCCGGAATTTACATCAGTCATACTAAACAGTTGTGCCTGACCTCCACAGTCTTCAAGTTTCAGGACAAAATTTATAAACAAAAAGAATGAGTACCAA